GTATGATTTTGTAGTCTCTTGCATTGTTATGATTTATTGCATGATTCACTTGATCCATTGTATGATGTTATGATAAATAACGTAATTTTTGCAATTAGTAATCGTTAGTAGTATTTAAGGGGAACGGGTTTTTTCCCACGAATGGTAAGTTCTGTTTTTTTCTGCTAACCCGACTTTGTCTGGTTTTTTCGTGCTATACCTTATTACTTATACATTATACCTTATACATTTATCATCGTTAACCGGTTATAACATTGTATCTATTTTCGTGAAAAAAATAAACTTAGTTGTTTTAACATTAAACGATAGTCTAAGCAAAAAACAAAAAAATAATAATAATAATTAAAGAAAGAAAGAAAGAAAAGATCGATTTAGCATTGTACTATCGTTATGTTGTCGTCAGATAAGGAATCAGATCCGGTTGTATTAAGCGATACACCAGCTCAGCCTGACATGTTGCAAGCAGGCTTGGAGTCAAATCTGGAGTGTTTATCATTAGAAGCGTTGAGGTTCGTCTGTAAGGTATCAGGAGTACCAGATTCAGGCCAAAAGAAGGAAGTTGTGGCAAGGCTGGTTAAGGAAGGTAAAGTCTGGTTGGGGCCGGATGCAACCATTGATGTCTCTGAGGTACCTGGAAAAGGGAAAGATGTGCAACCGCAGCCATTAGAGAACAGGAGCGAAAGTCTATTGGAGGACCCTGACATGTTTCAGTGGACTGGTGATAGGTCCCAACAGTTGAGATCAGGTGTACAAAACCCTCGGGACTCTTTCAAAAGGGAGGCCATGCTTGGTTCAAACCTGGCACACAACAGGCCTTGGAATAAAGGAGCTATGAATTGGGGTGCGTATTTTAGTACTTTGACATTAAATGATGTGAAGCGTAAGGATATGTGGGAAAAACATGAGTTGTTGAACCAGCGTAATCAGTGGGAGTATAACGAATAGTATAAAGTAGGGGCATTGTTAGATAAGGCCCTGGCAAGGCAGGTTGTTATGGTGAGGGCATATATGGTGAGAGTCGCTGATGAAGATGGATGGGAGGTTGCATTTAAGATAGCAACTGCGGACTTGTCGGACCCAATATCTGAAATTTTAGAGAGTAAACGTGAAAGAGCTAGATTAGCAACACAATGTAACTATTGTATTACTCTCGTTTGGAATGGTCACTGGTTCAGGCCTCTATCTTTCAAATGGGCAGTGTTTCCACAGCACAATTCACACAAACACAACTGTATATTCATCAACCAGGATTTTACCAACAATTCTCAAATCAGCCAGGTTCGCAGGTTCCATTCAGAGGCATGTGGGCTTTTCTTTCTCAAGCTGTGCAGACAACTCCACAGTTCTTACAACACTAGCAGGGTTTTAGCCCAAATGCGGCCCTGCCATCTCTGGGGCAACAAGTGTTCTCCCCATCTCCGTACTGGTCAAAAAAGGGTGATAAAAACAAGTGGTCCAAAAGAAAGGATGTGGTTTGTTATTTATGTAAAAGAAAAGAGCATTTTGCTAATGAGTGTAGTTCTAGGAAGCATCTTGGTTTGCCCTTTCGTGGGAATAGCCACAATCGAGAAATAGTTGACTACACTCAGGAGGTGTTGGAATCAGTAGAAGAAGGTCCGGAGTATGTAACAGGGAGGATTCACGGCCAGAAGAAGATAAAATATTGGGAGAAAATAATAAGGCTGTCTCAGATAATGCTAAGGTGATTAAAGGAGGGAATTCCTTTGTTTCTGAGAAATTTAATGCGTTTAGTAACCAGTTCAAACCTGAGGCCCTATCGTTTTACACAGGAGGAGATGCTTTGGTTGAAAGAAGAGTTGCAGAGATTAGAGATTGCAGGGGCTATAGTAAAAGTTGGCGAAGGAATTGTTCACCCACCCAGTCTTCTGGAAGTAAGCCCGGTGTTTCTAGTTCTTAAGCAGGGCCCTCAAAAGTTCTGGCTAGTAATCGATTTGCAAAGATTGAACCAGACTTTGCCCCAGAAGTTATTCTGTTTCGAGGGGCTGGGTGGCTTGTTGCGAACAATAAGAAGAGGTTGGTGGTCAATTTCTTTCGATCTGAAAGATGGCTACCATCACGTGCTGATAAGTACTGAAGCTCAAAGGCTATTGGCCTTTGTTATAGAAAGAACATAGTACTAGCACAGAGTGCTACCTTTTGGTTTCAGCCAGGCTCCCTGGGTCTTTTCAAAAATAATGAGGGCTCTAATTGGCAAATAGCGGGCCCAGGGAGTATACTGTGGCAACTATCTAGACGATGTGTAGGTCGCCTACCCAACGAAGGAGGGGTTGTTAGAGATAAGAAACAAGGTAATAGAGGTAGACCTGGCAGGTTGTAGTTGGGTTCGGGCCAAGAAGAAAGAGTGTTGGGACCCGATACAAACATTAAAGTTTTGCGGAATGTTGGTAGACATATTGAATGGAATAGTGATAGCACCAGAGGAAAAAATAGCTTCGGCTATATCGAAATTGGTGGCAATATCAGGAGCATAATAGTATTAGCAAGGAACTTAGCATCTGTAGCGGAAAAGATCATGAGTTTAGAAAGGGCATTCCTTCCAAGCCAGATGAAGTGTATGGAATTTTACAAGCTGATAGATTTCAAAAATTGGGGTATGTGGCAATAAGACAACAGGGTTCAGTTGTTGGCACAAGCAGTTGAGGATATTTATTGGTTGGTAGAGAATCTAAGAAAGTAGAATAGCCGGCCAGCCTGGAAACCCTCACGTGTAAGATCAGTGTATGTCGATGTATCAACAAAGGGTTGGTGTAGTATTTTTCAGGAGCACAAAGTAGCAGGAAGTTGGTCGCAACCGCATGCCCCAAATGTTATAGCCTAGTTAGAGGCATTGGCTGTACTATGAGCACTTCAATCGTTCAGAAGCTTGCTAAAAGGAACCTGGTTTACTTTATTCATCAACAACAGGGTGGCGCTAAAAACTGTATCGAATGGGGGTCCTATGGACTGGCAAAAGAATGTCACGAAGCAGATTTGGAGGTGTTTATAGAAGCCACATTGGAATTTTTAGTACAAGGTGGATTTCAAGCAAAGTAAATCTGGCAGATGCATTAATCAGGGTTTTGGATCAGGGAGATTTGGTGTTAAGTTCAGATGTGACAACTTATTTGGAACAAGTATAGGGGAATTTCGAGGTAGACAGGTTCACGAGTCATTTAAATGTGAAAACCCAAAGATTTAATAGTCTATATTTTTGTCTGGGAACAGAGGCAGTAGATTGCTTTACCCAGGATTAGGCTGGAGTAAGAAATTACATTTGCCATCCTTTCAGTTTAATTCACAGGGCATTATGTCATGCCAAGGAATATAGGGCCTGGATAGTTGTTATAATTCTGGTTTGGGTCTCAGCCCTGTGGTGGCCTATAATAGTGAATTCACAAAGAAAAAAAATCGATTTACTACCTGCAAGCCAGATTATTTGCCCAGGACCATCAGGAAATTTGGAACCATGCAAAAACAATCGGTGGGCCTTGAAGG